CCCACACCTCTTTATAGTCACCAATTGTGACATGTCAACTTTTTTGTTTTTTACGTGCATGCAAATAGGGACTCAAACAAATGATATCAACGGGAATCTTTTGGGTTTTTTAAACTTTAAAATATTTTATCTCTTAAATAAAAATCCAACTGAAAATCCTTTTTCACTATTAAATCCGCCGCGACAAGGACTTAGAAACCAGATCCCATACGGATATATTTTTAGTGGTCAAAAGTTACCATGTCTATTGCACATAAATTGTCCTGGTGTTTACACTGAAATTGCCATGATATATTTCAACTATTTTTTCTTCTACATTTAGAGTAAATTTTGACATATTATAATAAAGGGAATCAAGAAACCAAACTTGTCAAGAAGAATTACTAAAAATTGCCATGATCCATGAACTAATTTTGACATGGTTCATAATTAAAAAGAAATCCATCATCAATTATTTTAAAAATGCATAGTCAATGACTCAAATTTGCCATGAACCAAAAACTAACATTGTCATGATAAATTGCTTAAATTTGCCATGATACATGCACTAAAATTTGTCTTTTCATACAAAAAATATTTTCCGTGATCAAAATACTAGAATTGCCATGGTCAAAATACTGAAATTGCCATGATATATAAACTAAAATTGCCATGATGAATTACTAAAAATTGCCGTGCTCCATGAATTAAATTTGTTGTGGTTAATTACTAAAATTTGCTATGGCAAATTAATAAAATTTGCGGTGAAAAATAATTGAAATACAATGGTAGCTTTAAATCTAGAAAAAAATAGATAAAACATATCATGGTAACTTTAGTGCAAACAGTATGGTAACTTCAGTGTACCATCATGGCAATTTTTGGCCCCCCCAAAAAATTATCGAAACATATCAATATGGGATCTAATTTTAAATATCTCATCGAGCAAATTTAATGATGTAAATAGTTTTTCAATCACAGTTTTTGTTTAACGCATAAAACATTTTTAATTCCGTAAAAACAAAAGGATTCCGCTGATGTCATATGTTTAATGTGGCAAAATAAATAGTAATAAAGGTGTTTGGACCATGTTACTTCGTGCCACATATATGACACTTAGGTTAACAATTAATGAAAGGCACACTGGTCGTCGAGGAAATAAAGATGGCGGCAGTTTGAAAGCGTAGTCCAGTACTACAAGACCTTAAAAGCAGCATATAATAAAATTTTCAAAGGAATCTAGAGGAAAGGAAGTACTACATTTTAATATGTCGGCGTGGTAATCTTTCTTGGTCAAGTAACACTATCAAAACAGTTGAGACCGTTTGTAGTTGCGGGTCTGATCATATTCAATAGTAAACGTAGGGCTCCTTGGCTACCATTGATGAGCTTCTCCCTCTCTATTTCATTTTATAAAAAGGACAACATTTGAATGCCGTCATACGTGGTAATTTTGTATTCGCATTCAAATGTGATCCTTTAAGCCAAAAATTCTATAGAACCTGCACGTGGAGATTGCCTAAGAAAGCATTGCATAACTGGATTTGCTTTTCTTTATTTTAGGAAAAATTTCAATATATTCATCTTCGATCATGGCAGTACATCAAACATCAGAAATAATAAAAATTGCTTTCAGATCCGTAGACCACCTATCGACGAGTACAAGCACTGAAACGAGCCAAAGGCGCGCCACCGTCATCGCCCCTCCACCGGTGGAGTATGACAAAACTTGCTGTAGTAGTCAGTCGAAAAGTCGTCGTGCTAAGACCCCATAGGACCAGCACACCAAAATAGCAACCACCCTCGATGAAGAATAACGTAGATCAGAAGGATCCAATCCAAAGACACACGAACGTAGACAAACAACGACGAGACCCGAGCATATCCACCAAAAATAGATCCGCTGGAGACACACCTCTGCACGCCCATCAACAGTGCTAGACGCATCGCCGGAATGGGGGCTAGGTGAGGAGAGCTTTATTCCATCTTCAGGGAGCCCCCGCTGTCTCGCCTTCCTGAGCAGGACACAAACCCTATCAAACCTGAAAGGAATGACTAAAAACAGAGCCCTCCCGCCGGCCCTTCCTGAGATCCACCGCATCCCCATGGCCCTAGGATCACCGAAGAGAAGGCGGACCTGCGGCTTTACCTGCGAGAGGCAGAAACCCTAGCTTTTTTTTGGAGGAGGAGAAGGTCGGTTCACGTTTGATCCCTTCCATAACTTGGTTTTCATTCATATAATGGAACGGGGGAGAATGGCGGAGCCACCATCCAAAAAACTGTGTGTACAGAGTCCACTAAAATTTCTAGCTTTACTCAAATTTCCTCATTTATTTGATGTATATTGGTCTATACATGTGGATTATACATGATATACACCAATATACATCAGCCAAGCTTATATCATTTACATTTTGGATCTAGTTAAACTTATGAAAATACTAACGCCCACATGTGTGGCAATCTTGTAACTCGCCCATACGCGTGGATCACCATCCAGTCGAGTTTGCACGAATCTTGACACATTGAGGCAGAATTTGCGTGCCATGTAGGACGGGGCTGGTATGTGGACGTTGAAGAGTTCGCCCGCACGCCCCGCAGCACGCGGTTTGCCAGCTGCGTTGTGTGGGCGAACTAGTTTCTGCCCACACACAGCCACCATCTAGTCCACGTGCGTGTGGGCGAATTGATTTTCGCCCACACGGTCACTCGTACATTGTTGGATGGCAATGCAATTACGCGTACGTGGCAACTAGGTAAACCCACATGGCAACTATGATTCATTGCTAGACGGCAACTACAGTTGCATGTACGTGGCAACCAGATAAACACATATGGCAATTGTGATTAACCATACATGGCAACTATGGTTGGGCCACATGTGCCAACTGGATAATGCACATGGCAACTACTGTTTGACCATATGTGGCAAGGAGTTAATCACAGACGGCAACTATGGTTTGATTACACGCGACATCTACCATAAATTAGACATGGCAACTATAGTTAACCAAAACAGATAGAGTTGCCATGCTTTTACAACATTTGCCATCCCGAATAACTACATCTGCCATCCTGGATGGCAACTAAATCGTCACCCCGCGGGCACCTAACGTAGCTGGGCCAGAATATGTGGGCATTTTTGCTTCGTGCCACATGCGCGGGATGGAGATGAGTAGTATTTGCTGGGCGTGTGGCACGAAGTAGCTGCGCCCGCGGGATGGAGATGAGTAGTATTTGTTGGGCGTGTGGCACGAAGTAGCTGCTCCCACACGTGTGAGTAATTCTAATGTTTACCCACACACAGCACGTGTGAGCTGCCTCCTGCTCACCCCACACACGGTGTGTGGACGGATGTCTAGTATGCCACACGTGTGGGCGTTATCGGCGTCCTAAACTTAAAGGCCGCACAAATATATTTTTGCTCAAATTCTGGTAACAGTTGGTTGTTACGTTGCTTCATGATGTTGAATTTTGTTTTATAAACTTGTCATAGTAACATAAATAGTGTTTTCTTCGGAAAACACAAGGTCATGAAATTCACGAAATTTTGCAGATATGAAAACTTCAAGCTAGCTAGTAGGTAAACTTGGCGTGTCTCAAGCTGATCTCTACTATTACAGAACAGCTTGCTCATTTCCATTTTAACTAAGACTATTATCTGACACTTCCTCCGTTCTAAATTACTTTCAGAAATGGATATATCAAGAACTAAAAATATGTTTAGATACATCCATCTGCGGTAAGTAATTTGGAACGTAGGAAGTATAATTGTAAGCATGCTAAATTCTTCCGGGATATGTTTTTTCAGATTCCTCTGAACAAGAAAAGTAAAAATGCGACTTATTGCTGAAGAACTCATCATCTCACTAACTGCTTCATAGTTTGGCAAGCAGGCCAGTCTATTACAATATTAGTTATTGCTGAACCTGCATCAGAGGATCAACAAATATACCTAGGTGGAACAAAATATTTTACTATGAAAAGTTAGTTTACATAAATTTACAAGGTCCCGCCGGATACAGCACACAGCTTGAACTAAACGAGAACTGACAGCTTTGATACTGTACCTTAGTTGTACCCTGCATAGAAATAGCATCATTTTGCTCTGTTTCTAATCTACTTGATATCAGAAAAACCTTATTGCCTGGCCTTTGATAAATGTCAATAACATTTCAAGTACTTTGGACAACAAACTAGCTAAGATCATCGGTTTCATGTCATGACTCAGGGAACAAGATGATGATCTGGAAATTTTGGGCCAACACGGAAACCATGTCAGAGATGGTAAGCAATCAAAGATACATACAGCTGAAGTGAAATGTGAAACCATGGCAATGCTTTGGTTCTAGTGATTGCAAATAGTTTATATAGTTATGTATAGTTTTGGTTGTTACTTGTCATTAAACTCATTATCATGCTGTCTTTCAGGTGTCCTGAGTCAGCACTAGAAGGTATGCGAGGCACCTGGTGTGGTTACTGCGCCATATGGTTGATCTCTTCTACTAACCCAATATCAAACTGTCTTTCAGGTGTGCTGACTGCTGAGCCACATGCAACAAATATGTCGGTGAAAACGGACGCACACCAATCTTGCAATGTGCCGTATTACTTTTATCGAATCAGTGCCCTCGTAGGATATCATAGATGAATAAAAACTGCATAAATGTGTTTGTTGTGGAACATGGGAGTTGGGAGTGGAAAAGAATCACGAGATTTGAAATGCAAACAAACCTGCATTGTTTCAGTTACATCTGTGCTGCACAACTAATTCAGAACAAGTGTATGTTCATGTACACACTAACACGCAAACACGGATCAAATAAATTAGTAGATACTGCATTAGACACCATCTGAGCCGCTTAGACACCGGTATAAGCTCAACAACTGGGCTGCTTAGACACCATCTGAGCTGCTACAAAACACCACCGGTTCTTCAACAGTTTACGAGTTAGAAACACCACTAAAAAGGCTAAACAGGTTGGTCAAAAACTATCCCCGACACCCTCCAGACACACCTGTTAAGCAGAAAACAGCATGTCTGCCAGGGTAGAAAGAAAGGACCAAGCAACAGTAACTTGCACCTTGCAGAAACCAAGATCACATACGCCATGACTCGTGCCGGCATTCATCTGTGTAAAGAGAGCGGTATCTGTCGCGACCAAACCTTTCTTATCACCCGTCCCACGGCCCAGCACAGAAACCAACAGCTGTCCCCTTAATTCTACAGAAACAACGCGCCTTGAAAGCTCAATCACACCATCCGAGTTGACAGGCATTTTTCCATCTCGAGAAGCAAGCAACACCATCTCCCCATTTTCCATGCTGGCAGTGCGGCAAGTAACAACTCCTTGAACATGGTCGTCCCATGACCCATCAATAACTTGGACAGTGACAGTGGCCTCGACTGAAGGAAGCAGCGGCGCATATGCAAACTCAAGCGTGCAGCGCTTGCACGTGAAGCGTGTAAATACCACCTCATCAGAATGAAAAGCTTTGTAGTAGCTGAAAACTTTGAAAGCCAACAGTTCATCCTTTCCAGGCTCTGTTTTGCTCTTTACTTTTAGCTGAACTTCAAATGCAATCGGGTCAATTAACACGAGCGCACGAGATGGGCCATTTAACATCAACCATGGATCCTGCAAGCATCACAATCATCATCAGTTAATCAACCAAACCGACAGTCTGGCAGTATAGCACATAGCAGAATAAGGAAGGAAGAAAGAAAGCCAAACAAAACAGACAAGGCATGCTTAGATAGATGGTGCTCACTTCTTTGGGTGAGGGTTTGGCAATCATCCGCAGTGCGATTGAAGAGGAAGTTACGCTTGTGATCTACGGAGTCCCTGGCAGCAACCAATCCATGGACATGCAGAGGCCACTGGAGACCATCTTTGCCGATCTCGGAGACTCGGATGTAGAAGATCTGCAAGGTACAATCAGGGGCGGCGTACTGTGGGATGGGTTCGAATGCATGGCGCATGGGGCCAAGAGCAGCTGAATGAAGAAAAATTGTGATAAGAGTATTAGACAGCAATACTAGGTGCTTGTCAGCAGGAACGACACACGCAATCCTACTTGCAGGAAGCAAAATTGTGATGACCAGAGTCTACAGAGTAACATATTGGTGGTTTCACCATCCATGTTGCCGTGGATTCTAGTATTGACGGGTATGTGGATGGCCTGGGTTGGGTAATTCTCCTACATGATGCAAAGAGGTCTCTGACAGTATATATATTGTAGGAAAACAAAATTCATCATCATTTGATTTTGATTCCTAAATTACTACTAATGACGTGTGTAGGACAACAAAATCCCTTCACTTTACTCCCCTGCATCGACTTTCGACCACCTGTTCATCATTGGATCCGCAGCAAGAGGAAAACAGATTCGACTGACACTCACTTTCGTCGTCGAAGGAGCCGAAGTGGTCGGCGTAGAGACAGTCCCAGAGTTCGCGGTAATCGGGGATCTCGTCCTCCTCCCTCTGCTCTATGGGCTCCTCCTCCCTGAGAGCCCGCATGAACTCCTCGCGGTCTGGGCGATCGTCTCTCCTGTAGAACGAGGGCTTCTTCTGGCGGGCCATCCTCAGCGCCTTCTTCTTCCCTCTGCCGGTCGCCCTTGGGTTTTCGCCGGCCTACGCCCCGCCGGTGTTGACCAGCTCCGTTCCCGCCAGCCCGCCGGCCGCCATCTCCCCCTTCATCTCCTAGGGTTCCCCTCTCCGTCCTTTCTTCTCCTTCGGAATTGGGGGTGCGCGGCGGCTCTGGATCGATCACCTTCGGCTCGGGCCAGCTTGTGGCTCGGGTCGGGAGTAGCACAACCGAACGCGAACACAAACACTCGTGTTGGACTCGGGAAGAGTTCGGATGGGCTCGAGCGCGACGAGTCCGGCCGGATGTGCGCGTCTTTTTTTTTTTTAAGAAATATCTTTTCTTGACCTCACATATTGTAGATGATAGCCCGTGCGTTGTTGCGGAAATCAATAGCAGTATATTTCAGGGATTTGATTGTATAAAGCTTCATCGTTGAATTAATAATATATGAACTAAAGCTAAAAACAAACACAGTTTTATCTATATATATATATACATATATATTGTATTTAATTATTGCATAGTCCGAAGACATTTTGAATATAAGTGGCATAACGTGATGGAAAAAAAAGCATGCTTGTTGAGTAGACTTTTGATGAGGTTCTATGATGGTGAGGTGAAAGGTGTGCATGAGATGAACTAATAATAAAAAAAAAATACTCATGCATGTAGTGGTTGGTCTTGATGAGGTGGCATGTGGGCATGTAGAGATAAATAGGATAGTGGGAATCAACTTCACATACACGTGCGAAAATAAGCATAAAGACTGGGAGATGTCCAGTAAACATTGTAGAAAAAACCCTACATAAAAATATATAACAAATAAGTCCTTAGGCTGTGTTTGATAGTGAAGTATTAAGAACCCACAGTATTGAAAAATTACAATATTTTTGCATGTAGATATAAAATACCACTGTTTTGATATATCACAATATTTTGAAGCATTAAAAATACTTTGAGTTGTTTGGCTGGTGCTGCATATATCTACGTAAACCGGTTAGCTAGCTAGCCGTTTTCTCTTTAGCTACCCAGCTGTTACATACTCAACGGCCATGCACAAAGGCCACCCACATGCACAAACTTTGAATGACCACGCACAAAGGCCACTGCCAAACTGCAATGACTATGCCAATGGTTGGGCTGTAGCTTACCAAAGAGGAGGCAGTCGAACTACCACAACACTGACTTGTGTCACCTCACGAACTCATTGGCACTCTTCTGTGCTGCTGTCAAGGGGCATCATGAGCTACCCGTGGAGCTAGGACCTCACAGCCCGCAACACGGTGTAGCCGGCGGCGCACCACGTGGAGCTGCGCATAAACTGGAACCGTGCGGTCAAGCTCGACGCCTTGCAATGGATTCGATTGGTGTCTCCTCCCAAGCATTACTTCAAACATAGAATGACACGTAATGCATCAAGCAAGAAAGGAGGCGGCTTGGAAGCGAACGAAGGAGCAGCGGTGAGACTATCTCCAGCGCGACGAGAGAGCGCGCCTATCTCCAGCGACGAGAGAGCAGTAGCGGCGGCTTGGAAGCAAACGAGGAAGAAGAACGAGACGGGCCTGTTTTCTCGCCTGTTCAGTTAAAAAAAAAAGAGGTTTGGGGTTCTTTTCTTTAAACAGAGGAAAAATTGCGTTTTGGGGAATACTGTAGTATTAAAGCTACGGTTTTTGTGGGAACCAAACAGCTCATTGTAATTAAAACCATGATATTTGAAAAAACTATAGTATTCTCCAAATACATAGAACAATATTCTCCAAATACATAGAAAATGCAGAACTATCAAACAAGGCCTTAGTCCGTGCAAACAAACAAATCTGGAGCCGCCGTTGACGGTCAGCGCCGCCGAGACACACATCGAGGAAAGAAGCGGAGCACCAGCAAACCAAATCCAGACCATCGCCATAGCCTTGTAGGTGTTGTGAGCCGAAGACCAGACCTGCAAAACAGGCACTTGACGATGTGGCGTGTCGGTCAAGGATGTTCCCCGTGCCGACCTAGATACATATGATATGTCAATTTTGCATCATACTTTTATATCGATATTTATTGCATTATGGGCTGTTATTACATGTTATGTCACAATACGTATGCATATTATCTCTTATTTTACAAGGTTTACATGAAAAGGGAGAATGCCGGCAGCTGGAATTCTGGGCTTGAAAAGGAGCAAATATTAGAGACCTATTCTGCACAATTCTAAAAGTTCTGAAACTCCACGGAAGTTATTTTTGGAATTAATAAAAAATACTGAGCAAAGAAAATACCAGAGGGGGGCCACCCACCGTCCACGAGGGTGGGGCGCGCCCCCCTGCCTCGTGGGCCACCTGGCAGGCCTCCGGTGCCCATCTTCTGCTATATGAAGTATTTTACCCTGGAAAAAATCACAGGCAAGCTTACGGGACGAGACACCGCCGCCACGAGGCGGAACCTTGGAAGAACCAATTTAGGGCTCCGGCGGTGCTGTTCTGCCGGGGAAACATCCCTCCGGGAGGGGGAAATCACCACCATCGTCATCACCATTGATCCTCTCAGCGGGAGGGGATCAATCTCCATCAACATCTTCACCAGCACCATCTCCTCTCAAACCCTAGTTCATCTCTTGTATCCAATCTTTGTCCCAAAATCTCAGATTGGTACCTGTGGGTTGCTAGTAGTGTTGATTACTCCTTGTAGTTGATGCTAGTTGGTTTTTTCGGTGGAAGATCATATGTTCAGATCCTATATGCATATTAATACCCCTCTGATTATGAACATGAATATGATTTGTGAGTAGTTACGTTTGTTCTTGAGGACATGAGAGAAGTCTTGCTATAAGTAGTCATGTGAATTTGGTATTCGTTCGATATTTTGATGAGATGTATGTTGTCTCTCCTCTAGTGGTGTTATGTGAACGTTAACTACATGACACTTCACCATTGTTTGGGCCTAGAGGAAGGCATTGGGAAGTGATAAGTAGATGATGGGTTGCTAGAGTGACAGAAGTTTAAACCCTAGTTTATGAGTTGCTTCGTAAGGGGCTGATTTGGATCCACATGTTTCATGCTATGGTTAGGTTTACCTTAATACTTCTTTTGTAGTTGCAGACGCTTGCAATAGAGGTTAATCATAAGTGGGATGCTTGTCCAAGAAAGGGCAGTACCCAAGCACCGGTCCACCCACATACCTAATTATCAAAGTAACGAACGCGAATCATATGAGCGTGATGAAAACTAGCTTGACGATAATCCCATGTGTCCTCGGGAGCGCTTTTCTCTATATAAGAACTTGTACAGGCTTGTCCTTTGCTACAAAAAGGATTGGGCCATCTTGCTGCACCTTATTTACTTTCATTACTTGTTACCCGTTACAAATTACCTTATCACAAAACTATCTGTTACCGATACTTTCAGTGCTTGCAGAGAAAACCTTACTGAAAACCGCTTGTCATTTCCTTCTGCTCCTCGCTGGGTTCGACGCTCTTACTTATCGAAAGGACTACAATAGATCCCCTACACTCATGGGTCAGCAAGACTCTTTTCTGGGCCGTTGCCGGGGAGTGAAGCGTCTTTGGTAAGTGGAACTTGGTAAGGAAAAATTTATATAGTGTGCTGAAATTTACTGTCACTTGTTACTATGGAACATAATCCTTTGAGGGGCTTGTTCGGGGTATCTTCACCCTGACCAGTAGAGCAAAGAGTTGCTCCTCAACCTACTGAACCTACTGAAAATGTTTACTTTAAAATTCCTTCGGGTATGGTAGAGAAACTGCTAGCTAATCCTTTTATAGAAGATGGAACATTACATCCCGATTTGCACCTAATCTATGTGGATAAAGTTTGTGGATTATTTAAGCTTGCAGGTATGCCCAAGGATGTTATCAAGAAGAAGGTCTTCCCTTTATCTTTGAAGGGAAAGGCATTGACATGGTTTAGGCTATGTGATGATATGGGATCATGGAACTACAACCGATTGAAATTGGAATTTCATTAGAAGTTTTATCCTATGCATCTTGTTCATCGTGATCGTAATTATATATATAATTTTTGGCCTCGAGAAGGAGAAAGAATCGCTCAAGCTTGGGGGAGGCTTAAGTCAATGTTATATTCATGCGCCAACCATGAGCTCACAAGAGAAATTATTATTCAAAAAAATTATGCTCGGCTTTCTCTCAATAATCGCTCCATGCTCGATACTTCTTGTACTGGATCTTTTATGATAAAGACT